GCTGGGAAATGGAGACTCTGAGGCTGAGATTAGAGATGCTTTGCCGCAGATGCTGCTGAGAAGGTGGAGCCAGGCCCATGTGAGGGCAGCGGTCCTGGGGGACAGAGCCTGCTTTCGGGGACCATCACTCATGGGCTCGGTGGCCTTGGCGGAGGCCTCACGTGGCCTTCCTTGGCCTCGGCTTCCTCCTCTGAGAAATGGGGCTAACGTTCTCTTTCGCACGAACGTGGAGACGGTCACAGCGGGCACTGTCCTCTTGAACCCCTGCCCTTGGCCAGGCGGAGAGTCTTCGGCTGCCAGGTCCCCTAGACGGCTCCAGAGTCCCTCCCGCTGCAGCCCCTCCCTGACTCCTCTGCCCAAAGAGGGAAACCCATTTCCCAGGGAACAGCTGTGTTTCCTCCACAAACAAATGTTCCCTTAAAACGTTGCTGAGGAAGAGCGGATGGTAATGAGCGCACATCTGGCCCATCGGCACACTTTCGTTTTGGCAGCTCCAGAGCCCGCGAAGTGACTATTCCCTAATGTTCACCACGTCCTGGCACCTGCTATTCCCAATCAGGCTTGTACCACTGCACCTCAATTAGGAGCAGATGCGGGCTGAGCCAACGGAGAGAGAGAAACCCCTTCCCCAGCATCCCGCCGCTCTGCTCCAAAGCCAGGGGAGAGGTCTGGGAACCAGCAAGGGCACCGCCTCTGCCTTCGCTCTTCTCCCTCTCCCTCCCTCCCTTCCTTCTTCCCTTCCTTTCTCCTTCCCTTCCTTCCTTCTTTCGCTCAACCAGCTACCTGTGCTGTGGCCTGTGGGGATGCAGATCCGAATGGCACATCCTTTGCCTTCAATTTGCCCTCAAGCTCCTAGACAGACAAGCTCCTCCCTGTAATCGGGGTGCTGGGCAGTTGTTGACAAACTTGTTTTGTGCGGACCAGATAGTCACTATCTGGCTTTGCAGGCCATACAGTCCATGGCATAACTCTTCTGTTCTGTGGTCTATCACAAAAGCAGCCATGGACCGTACATCAGTGAATGAGCATGCATGTATGTGTGCTAAGTCACTTCAGTCGTGTCTGACTCTTTGTGATCCCATGGACTGTAGCCCACCAGGCTCCTCTGTCCATGGGATTCACCAGGCAGGAATACTGGAGTGGGTTGCCATGCCCTCCTCCAGGGGATCTTCCCCACCCAGGGATCAAACCCGAGTCTCTTACATCTCCTACATTGGTAGGCGGTTTCTTTACCACTGGTGCCAGCTGGGAAGCCCTGTGAATGAGCATAGCTATGTTCTAATAACATTTGATTTATACAAATGCTGGCAGGCTGGATTTAGTGCCTGGGTCATAATTTGCTGACCCCTGCTATACCCTAAAGTCAGATAGTCACATCTTGAGATGTCTGCCTGTATTGTCCTTCCCATCCATGCATTACATGAGCCTCCCCTCCCTCCCCCCAGCTACTGAGGGGTACAATCAATTGAACCAGGGTGACACCTAACCCAAGATGGACCAATCAGAGTCTCTCCCCCAATTTAGCACTGAGGCTAAGAGAGTCAGCTTGCCTCTGGAGCTGATCTCACTGGAGCGGAAGTGTAGCATCTCATTTCTGTTCCCTGGATGGAAAAGCAGAAAAAGCTGGGCTTCACCTGTGGATGAAGCACATGGAGCAAGGCTGCCTAGGATGCCAGTGCCCACCCAGACTCTACAGCATACCTTCCTGAGCCCTGATCACATCCCTACCCTTGGTTCCCAGAAGCCCCCGGATCCTTATTATGATGCCTGACTTTCTGAGTTTGGCAGCTTAGATCGGCACCTGCTTCTCCTATCCAAGCAGGGCATCCTGAACCACTTTCTCCTTCTGAAAGCCGTTCAGGCTCTTTTTGGACATTTGTGCCAGGGCTTGGTAGACACAGACAGGAATGGGTCATGTCCTTGCCTTCTAGCAGCTGATGGGTAGGCAGTCCATCCAGAGGACATTCCTGCTCCTCATCCTAGCACAGCCCACAGTGGACTGATCAGGGCCACCTCATCTGCCAGGGGGTGAGGGGCAGGGGTGGGAGATGGAGGAATCTGAGAGCCTTGGTTGCAGAGGGACCATTGTAGGCTTTGAAGAATGAGTTGCCTGTCATTGCGCAGAAAAATAAGAGGAGATGGCATGAGGGGAGAGCATCATTTTCCAAAGCATTTCCGTGGGACACCAACTCCAGGAGTTTTATTGTATCCACTCTCCCATTCCTCCTCACCCAGAGAACTCCAATTCCTTCTGGGTGATAATGGGCCCTTAAAATTACTCAACCTTCCAGGCTCCCTTGCAGCTAGGGGTGATCATGTGACATGCTTCTGGCAGATGAGACGTAGCAAAAGTCTGCTGGGGGAGCTTCTGGGATATAAAGATTCCGCTCACCTTTGCTCTTTGCCTCTTCCTGCCTGGAACATAACTGTGGTGTCTGAAAGGGCTGCAGTCATTTTGCCACCGTGGAGGTGGACGATACCTGTGAAGGATGGCAGAGCAGGAGGCTAGAAGGAGCCTGGGTCCCAGTGCCATGTCTGAGCCACTACATCAGCTCTGACTGCCCATCTCTGCGGGGTCCTGGCTGCTACTGAGGGGCTGTTTCTCTGTCTGCAGTTCTGCATATTCCGAACTAACGCATTGTTTTACAATAAAAGGAGACTGTGGACCAATTAAGTGTAAGCACACCAGTTTCCACTTTCAGAGATTAAAAAAAATTAGATTATTAAACCTCCAAGAAATCTTAAAGGTGGTTGTCTAACTCAATGATTCCCAAAATATCTGTTCACCAACATCCCTTGTCTCCACCCTTTCTGGGACACCAGGGGACGTCCCATGGAATACACTTCGGGAAAAAAGCTATAGAGAAAATAATTTGGGCTTTGGAGTCGAGGAAGATCTGGGTTGAATGCTTTGTGGCTTCAGACATGTCACTGACCCTCTCTGAACCAGAGATTCCTACTCCATAAGATGAGGGAGGGTCATGTAGATTGAAGGTAATCCAGGTAAAGCACCTGCATTGTTCTTGGTTCCTGCTCAATCATCAGCAGTTCTCATTAACAGTGGATCATATTTTGGAAAGAAACTGGCATTAGAGACAGAAGATCCTGGCTTGTGGAATAGTTCTACCATTTTCTTTTGAGGTCCTGGCCTAGTGACTTCACTTCTCAGGGCCTCCGTGTTCTGAACTGTTAAGTAGAGAATATAATGTCCTCTTGGGGAAATGGAGGTGTGTGAAAAACTCTGGCACAGAGAAGCCTCACCCAGTGTCAGAGGCATGTCTGAGCTGAGCTCTGCCCACCAGACCCTGTGGACCTCTGTCACCACCCCCCACTCCAGAAGGCTACATACGCTGAGCGCTTTGGTGCAGTAAGTCAGGCAGGGTGGCTTTGGCAGTTTCATTCTGCCGGGTGTCTGCCTTGCCTCCCAGCCCACCTCTCTATCTTCCTCCAGGGTCACCACTGGGCCCCCCGGGGGCTCTCCGGGGCAGACCTTCACTCCAGGTCACTCAGACGCCTTGTTGCCCAAGCCTGCAGCTCCCAGTCTTTGTCCAGCTGGGTCCCCTGGATCACAAGTTCTGAACCACAGATGTGGGGTGGAGTTTTGATGTTGTCTTGGGGAGCCTTGGGGAAATCACTGCCCCTCTGAATCTTGGTTTCCTCCTCTGAATAAAGAGGGCTTTGCAATGTATGGGCTTGAAAATGGAGATGAGGGGCGGTTAAGATTTGCTTCTCAGGGCTGTAAGGAAGCCTGGGAGAAAACCGTGTGTGTGTGTGATTGATGACTGTGCGATCCTGGTGGGTTGCTCCCTTTGTCCTTTGTCATGCTGCTTCTCTCTTGAGGCCTTCCATTGTCTTTAGGTGCCCTCCCCCTGCTCCAGAGCCAGAACTGTGCTCCCTCTTGAACATTTATGGTGTGCTAACCACTAACAGTACATCATGAGAAACGCTGGGCCGGAAGAAGCACAAGCTGGAATCAAGATTGCTGGGAGAAATATCAATAGCCTCAGATATGCTGATGACACCACCCTTATGGCAGAGATGAAGAGGAACTAAAAAGCCTCTTGATGAAGGTGAAAGAGGAGAGTGAAAAAGTTAGCTAAAGCTCAACATTCAGAAAACTAAGATCATGGCATCTGGTCCCATCACCTAATGGGAAATAGATGGGGAGACAGTGGAAACAGTGTCAGACTTTATTTTTGGAGGCTCCAAAATCACTGCAGATGGTGACTGCAGCCATGAAATTAAAAGATGCTTGCTCCTTGGAAGGAAAGTTATGACCAACCTAGATAGCATATTAAAAAGCAGAGATATTACTTTGCCAACAAAGGTCCGTCTAGTCAAGGCTATGGTTTTTCCAGTGGTCATGTATGGATGTGAGAGTTGGACTGTGAAGAAAGCTGAGCACTGAAGAATTGATGCTTTTGAACTGTGGTACTGGAGAAGACTCTTGAGAGTCCTTGAACTGCAAGGAGATCCAAGCAGTCCATCCTAAAGGAGATCAGTCCTGGGTGTTCACTGGAAGGACTGATGCTGAAGCTGAAACTCCAGTACTTTGGCCACCTGATGGGAAGAGCTGACTCATTTGAAAAGACCCTGATGCTGGGAGGGATTGGGGGCAGGAGGAGAAGGGGATGACAGAGGATGAGATGGCTGGATGGCATCACTGACTCGATGGGCATGAGTTTGAGTAAACTCCGAGAGTTGGTGATGGACAGGGAGACCTGGCGTGCTGTGATTCATAGGGTCGCAAAGAGTCAGACTGAACTGAACTGAACTGAACTGAACTGAACTGAACCGCTAACAGCCGCTTCCCCTTAATTCACAACCCCAAGGCTCCCAGACCTGCCCTCCACCCACCCAGAGCACCTTTCCATGGTTCTGTCTGCACTCCTGCAGGACCTGCACAGAGGCCTGCCCCCACTCTTTCCATGGGAAGCCTTTCAATTCTCACCATCTTCACCAGGGCCCCCAGCCAGCCCTGAGTGCATTTTCTCTCTTTGATGCTCCCTGGTGCTCTATGGGGCGTGTGCCATGTGCTCAACACTGCTGGGGACTGGGCTCCCCCTGTTGCCCCAGTTCTGCCCACAGCCGATGAGGCAGCTGCCCTCTCACTCATCGCAGGCAGGAACCCAAGTCAGAGCCTTGGGAAGAAACACACCAGAAGGTTCCTGACCACCCAGCAGTGGGGGCTGGGCTCAGCCTTGGTCGTGACCCTTGCCCCAGCACTTTCTGCTCAGGGCTGCCCACCTGGGCCTCATGATAAAGGTACGTTTCCCAGTTGGTTATTTTCATGGGAAAAGTCTTGTGTTTGGGACAGGGACGGATTGTCAGGGGAGACGGGTGATGGACTTTGCTTCCCAGGAAGAGAATGAAGGAGGCTAAGTGAGCAGACCCGCCTCTGAGGAAGCAGACACCCAGTGAATCCTAAAGAAAATCAACCCTGATTATTCATTGGAAGGACTGACTGATGCTGAAGATGAAGCTCTGATACTTTGGCCACCTCGTACAAAGAGCTGACTCATTGGAAAATCCCCTGATGCTGGGAAAGATTGAAGGCAGGAGAAGAAGGGGATGACAGAGGACGAGATGGTTGGATGGCATCATTGACTCAATGGACATGAGTTTGAGCAGGCTCTGGGAGTTGGTGATGGACAGGGAAGCCTGGCGTGCTGCAGTCCATGGGGTCGCAAAGAGTCTGACATGACTGAACGACTGAACGACAACAGTTAGGCCCCGGAGCCTGTCCCCAGGCATGGCCAGCTCTGCCCAGGCCTCCCCGCTAAGTCCCGTAGCCCCCACCCAGGAAGGGCGGCTCTGTGACCTCCTGGGCAGCATGGAGGGCCCTTCAGGAACAGGCAGACAGCAGAGAAGACAGGGAACCAGTGGGAGAAGGACCTTCTCCCGAGTCCCACCCCAGCCTCTCTTCCCTCTGGATGTTAGAGTCAGAGGCCCAGTCACCATCACCACTCACCCTGAGCCAACTGCTTTGGCCCCAGACCCTGGGCAGAAGGGGCCTGCAGGCTGCCTGTGCATCTGTGTCTCATGTGTGAGGGGTGGGCAGGGGGAGATGGTTCCCAAAGATACACAGCTGCCAGACCACCTTCCCCATGTCAGCACCCCCCGAAGCGAGGCCCTCGAGTCACTGCTCGGGGTTGGGGTGTCAACCTGGCACCTCCACTCCCCTCTAAAGCTCAGAACTGCCCTTCCCAGAAGATGCTTCCCTGCCGGGTCTGAATGGTAAGTTTTGCAAGATGGAAGTGAAGTCCAGAGTTGGGGGTCATGCCAATGGGGGTCATGCAGGAGGAAGTCCCCCACAGGACACAGGCTCCAGCGTGTCCTGGCTCCCTCCTGTCCCTCGTCCAGCCTGTCTTCCTGACTGCTTCAACCTCCAGCGGTCCCCAGGCTCCCACCGGGCACCGTCAGAGGGCAGCAGCCTCCTCAGACCCCTCCACGCGGCCTCTCTCCATGGCCCCACTTCGCCAATCTCCCCGCAGGCTTGAGCCCAAGTCCCAAGGATGTCCGGGAGACTGGGGCAGAGCTGGCCTGTGGCTCCTCCCAGAGAGGCCTGGGGTGTGGTGGCCAGAATGCAAGCAGGCCATCGCAGCCCATTGCTGACCTGCCTGTGGGGGCTCAGCTGAGACCCCGGCCCATGCCACTGCTGGCCCATCGATGTTTTGGATGGTAGTGATTCTCTACAGGGTGTTTGTGAGGGTTTGAGAGTGTGTTCTAAAGCTCCTGGTCATGGAAGCTACCCCTTAAATGATCAGTGAGATTACCCCTTGTATGAACATTCATATTACTTGTTTTTCTAAAACGTATGCCCTTTTCACCTGAATGTACATTTGAATGTACATTTTAAAAACCTATATCCTGAATGTACATTTTAAAAAAATAAAGAAAAATGAGGTTTTAATTTCAAATATCTGCTGCACCCCACCCCCAGCTGCCTAAGAGCCTGGCCCCTCTCAGAGGAACCCATTTGGTGTCTGTGGCCGCTCCCTCCTCTACACTTGGGTTCCAGAAACCTCACGGTTCTTGTTTTCCTAAATCAAGCTCAACCTGAATCCACATGCCTCCTGAACCTGTTTATAAAGGCCAATTTTGTGTATTTCTGTAGCACCCTATTTTCCACCCCTTTCGTAGACGCAATAGAAAGTCTGATCATGTGGTGTGTGGGGATGTAGAGTAGGACCTGGCCCATCGTCTGGGCTCTGGCTGTTTACATTGTCTCTGCCCCCTCCTCTGAAGATGACTCTGTGGTCTTTCTTCTCTGTCCCCTGCTGCATGTGGCTGGCGGCACTCACAGCTGCTGAAGACCCTGTCCAGCCCCCTGACACTCACCACCAGCCCATCAAGGCCCTGCCCACATGTGGAGCAGGCAAAGGACACCATCTTTTACAAACCCCTCCTCTCCTTTCCCAATGGAAGAGGCACCCACCATTCTCTATGTACTGAGTTCAGTTCAATTCAGTCGCTCAGTCATGTCCGACTCTTTGTGACCCCAGGGACTGCAGCATGCCAGGCCTCTCTGTTCATCACCAACTCTCAGAGCTTGCTCAAACTCATGTCCATCAAGTTGGTGATGCCATCCAACCATCTCATCCTCTGTTGTCCCATTTTCCTCCTGCCTTCAATCTTTCCCATCATCAGGGTCTTTTCCAATGAGTTGGCTCTTTGCATCAGGTGGCCAAAATACTGGAACTTCCTCTTCAGCATCAATCATTCCAATGAATATTCAGGACTGATTTCTTTTAGGATTGCTTGGTTTGATTTCCTTGCAGTCCAAGGGACTCTCAAGAGTCTTCTCCAACATCACAGTTCAAAAGTATCAATTCTTCAGTGCTCAGCTTTCTTTATGGTCCAACTCTCACATCCATACATGACCACTGGAAAAACCATAGCCTTGACCAGATGGACCTTTGTTGGCATAATGATGTCTCTGTTTTTTTCATATGCCATCTAGGTTGGTCATAGCTTTTCTTCCAAGGAGCAAGCATCTTTTAATTTCATGGCTACAGTCACCATCTGCAGTGATTTTGGAGCCCCCCAAAATAAAGTCTCTCACTGTTTGCATTGTTTCCCCATCTATTTGCCATGAAGTGATGGGACCAGAAGTGATGGGACAGAGTGCCTGAAGAACTATGGATGGAGGTTTGCACCATTGTACATGAGGCAGTGATCAAGACCATCCCCAAGAAAAAGAAATGCAAAAAGGCAAAATGGTTGTCTGAGGAGGCCTTACAAATGTACTGGGTTACTGCCTCTCTGATCCTCAAGGCACTGTAGCCCCAGTGCTCTCTCCCCCCTCCCCCTGGGAAAAGCCAGGTCCACCCCCTGGATGGACCAAACCTGGTGACAGCCCCCGAAACATACAGAGGCTGCTACTCTGCCTTCCTCTCCCTGACCCTGGGACTCAAAGTCATGAACTCTCCTTCCTGGGGAGATGGCAAGTGATGCTATTACTTTCTTCCATCACAAAAGTATGATGCTAATTTTTTTCAATAGATAACATGTAACCTAAACTTCCAAGGCCCCTGGGGCCCACCCACCTGCCCAGACTCCTGCTTTCTGGTGAAGGAGCCCGTTCCCAGCTAGCTGGTGTCCAGCCACTTAAGATGGGTTTAGCTCAGACCAGGATTTGCTTTCTGTGACTGGGTGAGAGGAGTGTGCACCCGTTTCTCCTGTAAGCATCACACCCAGGGGAAGGGGTGAGAAGAAACCACAAAGCTTCAGAATCCTGAAGGCCTTGGAAAACGCATTAAAAGAGAGCCCACAGGTGGCTGGTGGCCATTTCATTTATCATCCACTTGGTAGATTATCTATACTTGGTGGTGATCGAATGATTTATCATTCAAACTGAGATGTTTGAGTGTGTGTGTGTGTGTGTGTGTGTGAGACAGAGAGAGAGAGAGGTCATTAGTGACAATGCCAGGCCGCAGGTGTAAATCAGGTTTTTTCCAGGCCACCTTGGACATGTGGTCACCCATTAAGTGGAAACTGGGATCTATTATTTTTATCTCATTAGCTCCTGTGAAAGTCTGGGCAAGTTCCTGGTCTCCAATGCAGAAATAAAGAAAATGAACTTGGGAGCAGGGAAGTGATGACGCCAAGGCCAAGCAGACCATTAGGGGCAGCTTCAAGCCTTCCACCTAGGCTCCATCCTCTACAGCCTTTGTCACTGGTCCAGCCCCTCATCATGCTGGTTTACCGCTCCCTGACTGTCCAGAGAACCTCCAAGGAGTCCAATCCTAAGGGCAGTTTCCAGCATCAGGGCCAGAAAAGGACACTTCTGGAACTTTGAAGACAGAGGACACAGGTATTTTTATGGTTTAGATAAAGAGAAACCATGGCCTGAGACAGGGGACGGAATAAGATGACCTTTGGGCACATCTAAATCTGGGAAACAGTAGCAAAATCCCAGACCCAACCCAGTGCTCGGGTGCTGCATTGTACTTAAAAACCACGAGAGGGCGCCCTCGCACCAACGAAGAGCTGCCTCAAACCGTTCTCCCCCAGCTACTGAGCCAAGAAAGGCCTATCACTTTTTGTTACTCGTTTGTTTTCGCTTTTAATAGTTTTCATTTTGAAACAATGTCCTACATAAACCAAAGTTGCAAATACTTTAAAGAAAAAGTCATTCCCGCCCCCCCCCCGACCCCTGAACCATTAAGAATAAGTTGCTGAAATGATTCCCCAAGTCCACCAAATTCGTTTTTCTTTTTAAAGATTTTTTTTTTTTGATATGAGCTGCTTTTTAAAGTCTTTATTGAATTCGTTACAATACTGCTTCTGTTCTATGTTTTGGATTTTTGGCCGCTGAGGAACTGTGGGATCTTAGCTCCCCGACCAGGGATTGAACCTGCACCCCGGCATTGGAAGGTGAAGTCTTAAGGCTGGACTGCCAGGGAAGTCTGTGTATTTCCTACAAACAAAGACATACTCTAACCACACTCTAGCCATCAAAATCAGAAAATCAGCATAGAAGCATCGCTACCACCTAATCTGCAGCCGCCTTTCATGCTTTGCCATGGTATTCTTCGTAGCAAAATATTCAGAACAGAAGCATGCTTGTAATTAGTTGTCGAATCTCTCCTAATTCTTTGACTTTTAGGACCACCAGGCTGCTGGAGGATGTCCCTTCTTCCGGGGTTGTCTAAGGTTTCTCAGGACTCGATTCAGATCCTGCATCTTTGGCAAGAATTCCATAGCACTCTTCAACGATGCTATCCTCTCATTGCATCCTACCAGGTAGGAGGATGGGACAGGATTCACTTTGTCTAATTCATGATGACATTCACTTTGATTCCTTGATGAGGGTGGTGTCTGCCAGACTTCTCCTCTGCAGTATTATTCTTTTGCCATCTGTAATTGGTAAGTATTTGGGGGGAGTTACTTTGTCCTGTTCAATTCTCTTACTATTATTTTAAATGATTTTATTTATTTTTGGCTGTGCTGGGCCTTCGTTGCGGTGCAGGCTTTTCTCTAGTTGCAGTGAGAGGGCTCCTCCTTGCAGAGGCTTCTCTTGTTGCAGACACGGGCTCACGGGCTCCAGGGTGCGCTGGCTTCCATAGCTGCAGCTACCAGATTCTAGAGCACAGGCTTGGCAGTTGTACATGGGCTTAGTCGCTCCACAGCATGTGGGATCCTCCCAGATCAGGGATCAAACCCACGTCTCCTGCATTGGCAGGGAACTCTCCACCACTGAGCCACCAGGGGAGCCCTATTCATTTATTTATGTGAGTGTGGACTCAGTCTTTGTTATTCTGCTCAGTGGGTTAGAATCTGTTAGCAACATTATATTAATTGGTCCTCAAGTTGTCACAGATTGGCCTAGTGGGAATCCCTGCAGGGTGGCCTGTGTGTCCTCTGAGCAGGTCCCATCATTCTCGGAGCACTTCCTTGCTTCTAGCACCACAAGATGGTCAGGCTCACCTGGTACTTTCTCTGACCCAGTTCATTTCTCCAAGGAGCCCCGGGTCCCACCGTGGAGAATGGTACTCAGAAGCCAAGACCTGGGTGCTCGGTGTACTAGTTGCCACTGGGACGCTGCTGCTCCCAGGCCCTTCCCGTGGTTGGAGCTATGGTAGGGAACAGCTATCCTGTACCATGGTAGGGAGTATGTGTGTATTTCTACATGTTATGTCAATATACACCTGCTTACATCCATCCATCTATCTATCCATCCACCCACCCATCCGTGAGTTTAATCTGAATCTTCCCATTCCAGCCACCAGCACAATT